ATTATCATTGTTTATTCAAATAGGTCTGCTCCAGTCGCACTTATGGAAGCCGATAAGTCCCCCGTAAATTCACACCTCAGGCGTCTTAAGAAAACGCAGATGATTATTTGATGTATAGTCGGAATGAGCGCATTTGCTTTGCTTGAATACTGAACATCAAGATTCAAGTTCAAAAATATGCAGCTTTGGATCTGGAATTGCTATAGAAACAGATCCTACGTTGGGTATTCTGCAAGTACATGAACTCTCTAATTGTGATCAAATTTTGAGGTGTTTAGTAGATCTATGGGTGTCATTATATAGTGCTAACATAATCATAGACTTACAGTACATAACAAAAGGAGAAAACATGTGCACGATACACCGTTGTAAAGCGCACCCTTCCACTACCTTCCTTCTACGCAAAAAATCAAGATTTTTATAAAAAAGATAACCAGAAATATGCAAGTTAGATATTACTAATTCAACGTCAACTTACTTTAACACTACTTTGATGGTGATATGCTATCATTTTATTTTTGTTGGCTCAATGATAACCCGAATGCATTTTTTGTGCAAGAACAGGCTTTTTCAGTTTTTCATTATTGCTGTCGGTATTCTTCCCAAATCTGGGCCTTTCCTATAAAAGTGTGTCTATATATGAGTGTTGAAAGCATGTACTAGGCTGTTTTAAAAATTCTGTCCGATTTTCAATTGTCTTGTTTTAACGCAGCTATTTTCTTAGGATTTTGCACTTATGGCATTGTCATGAAAATCACTTAGAAGTACTTTTCCTGCTCTTTCTAATGCTCACTGTTGCTGCGAATCAACTTTCCAGTGATGTTTCAAGCTCCGAAGCAAAGTTGCCAAAATGCAGTCAAATGCAGTCCCAAGAAAAAGTTTCCATGAAGAGAACTACTCGTACTACGTACTCGTAAAACTGAATGCTCAATATTTTATAATGAATGAAGGTATAATGAGCTAACATAAGCACACTTTTTCTCCGACGTAGAGAATGTCTTACTTTTTCATTTTTTTTCAAAGCTAGAAGACAAACTCAGTTATTCAACAAGCGACAACAATCTACATAAAGCGACAGGTGATTCACTCAATATTGCATATGTTAGAGTAAAGGGCGAGAGCAAGCAGGAACCGTCAGCCAATCGCCTTCCTTCGTCTGCGACAGCAAGAAAAAAATCAAATATTGGAAAGTCGGCATTTTTCGCACGCGGAGGAGGGCTCAAATAGTGGGTTTATTTGATTTACTCGCAAAAATTTCTATGCAGCAAAAAATAACTCGAATTCTTTCTTATCCGCAAAAAAACCTTTGAAGTGATGGCATCCAAATATATCCAGGGCTCGGCACGAGGTGGCTAGTTGAAAATGCAAAAAACGAAGTCCCCCTTGACTTTTGCAAATTTTTACGAAGTCCCCTTTGACCCTAGACCAGGGCTCGGCACGAGGTGGCGTCTCAAAATTGCAAAAAATAAAGTCCCCTTTGACTTCAATAAAATTACGACATCCGCCACGAGATATTTGAAGAGAAAATACATGAAAAGGAACGGAACAAAGCAACAGCAGAAAAAAAACGAAAAAGAATCATCGAACACACGCGATGATATTCATATTCTCCGGAATGGCGGCATGATGTATCCATCGTGCAGCAATATGCGCCTAGAGCAGCCTTTCCGCGGCCATTCAAAATTTTCAATTGGCTATAACTAAGCGGGGAGAAGGGGGTTTGAGGCGGTTCAGGAACCAGTTTGTAGGGTTTGGGATGTAGATGAAAAGTATGTAAAGAAAGTAGAAAAATTATGTGAGGGAGGAAAAATTTATGACTTTTTCTTTCCTAAGCCACCTCAGGTGGCTATCCAGGTGGCTTGAAAGCCACCTAACTCCGAAAAAAGTTGAGCACGCCTTTAGTTCACATAATTTTCTCATAATTTCTCATACTTAGTCCTAACTCCCCATTGCCCATCTACACACCGATTTTGGTGTCATTTCATCTTCACTTCGCTGTAAACAAACCTTTTGTTTATTTGCTAGCGGCATGCCGGCAGCGTGCCGGCCGCAGACCGAAAGACAACGTTATGCTCTACCGCAAAAACGATATCTTCTTTGCTTTTCCCCAAAAACGATATCCAGCTTGCTTGCGAAGCCACTTGTGCCGAGCCCTGAATATATCTGCCCATCCTCATATGGAAGCATTAGTAAGTCAGACTGAACGGTTTTGAAGAAAACCTTGCAGAATTCGAGAAATTTTCTCTTTTCTCTCTCTTGCTTTCCTCATAAAGCATAGAGTGCTTGTGATAGCCATGAACTCACTCAATCCAACAAAATTTGACTTGTTCAAAATTGTTGATTTTCAAAAAAAGCTATAAGATCTTAGATGAAAAAATCGCAAATCGGACAGAATTTTTGAAACAGTCTAGTATAGGGTGTCCCAAAAATGTGCACAATGTTCAATTGTTAACAACTCTCTTGCTTTAAACGGCTTTCGACAAACTCCGAGTATCATTTTGTAGAGCAGGCTTCATGTTAGATTTACTGTATGAAGTAAACCACCGATTTCTCTTTATTACGGTACGATTACGGTAGAAACTTCGAGAACGACTTTACGCCACTGAAAGCCATATCTTGCCTAAGAAAGAAAATCAAAAAACTTTCATACCAGGCTCGTCGAGGTCAATGATTCTAAATACGGAGTCCGCACATTACTCGAATGCTTCTTTCGTGAGTTAATTAGAGTAAACCGTAACAACTGTTTTCCATTGTTCATCAGAACTGCAATTACACCACTGATAGAGCAAACACTTGAATAGTTGTGTGGTAAAATCAGCATGCATGAAAACCCTGCTACTCAGATTACGGGTTTTTTTAAATTCCATCCGACGGCTTATTTCACAGTCGTGGTGTATGCAAAGTTCCTACGGTAATCTCGCAGTTACGAAGAAAGATCTATGGTTTTCATACTGCAAATCTCAGAAGCAGCACTACGGAGCAGTGCCTAGAAATCGGCGAAGGACTTCCAGTCAAGAGAGTTACCAACGATCAAAGAGTTTGTGCATTATCTGGAACACCCTGTATAAGGACTGTGTGAAAACTTACAATTCAATTTTCCCAAAACAGTGACTTATTAAAGATTAGCTGGGATACCCTACTTTTCTGGAGCCCACATAACATGACGAAACCATTTTCTGCGGATCCACACTATATTCCTGTCCCTATACCAAACTATGCGCGAGCTCTCGCATAGAAGTGCTTAGTCCTTCCCCCCCCCCTCTCCCACCCCCACCTTGTTTTGAAAAGATTCAAATAGCACAAATTTGACTCACAGTCGTTAAAATAAAGATTGCAAACTTGAGCTAGAAATGAAACTAGAGATTATTAGACCCTCCAGCAATCTTAACGATCAAAAATCGAAAAATGAAAATGAGAGTTTGCGCTTATCAGCTATTGCTGCTCAACAACAGTTTTTTCCAAGCATTAGCAGGAACGCATGATTTTCTCGCTTCATCTCTTGGCGTTCGAATTATTGAATAAGAAAAATCTATGGATTTTCACGGAAACGCACTTGATTCTTTTCAGTAACTACAAACTTACGGTGGACGGTTATTTTTGAGCCCCGAGCTATTTGATATCTGGTGGGCTCGTGACGACGATCACGGCTTAAATTGAGGGTTGGAGATCAGTGTTCTGCATCTTACCTCACAGTGCCAATTATAACCAGCTTTGACTTTGATCCAAGTGAGTGGAGCAGAGCTTATAAGAGCGTCGCTGCAAAGCTTCTGTGAGCACCCTATCTACCTGTCTTCGTCCAGTTTTACATGTATCAAGTGAAAACTATGCGATTTTTACTTTTCTTTTTTTCTCACGCAGTGCCAATGAATTTTATATCATAAATTGCTGTAATGCTGTAACTTGCCTATTCTAAATATAAACATAAGAACAACCCGAAATAGACTTCGTTTGTCATGTACACTACGTTAGATTCTATCACTTCGTAGTGGAAGAACTTTCGAGAAAGTTTCAAAGCCACAGTGCCGCTCACAAATTGTCAAAAAAACTTGTAGGTGAATTTTTGAATGAACTAATTTCGCCACAGATGATGTGAAGTTCGTACACAATTTTTTTTTTGCACTTTGCTCAAATGAGCATTAATTGTGTTCATTACTACCTTCAAATCATGTGCTGTCTTCAATTCAGCGATTACGGTGCTTGTAAAACGGCCAGTCACATTCAAAAAGTCAATGAGTCTTTTGTAGCAGGCATACCTATTCATTGCGATGGTGGCATTCTGCAAAGATGCGGATTGTGAAAGTAGAACTATTTTGCACGAATGTAAACTAAAATGTAAAATGAACAATAATAACCTGCTACATAAGTAGAAGAGTTGAGATGTGATAGATGTGGAGCCACCACATGCTTAAAGTCGCTGTTTCGAAGTCCTAGCTTCATCGTTGCATGTAACTAAGGTTTTTCTTCATAAAATTTTTGTAACAAAAGTCTTTTCTGTGTAGAAGAAGGAAAGTATATCGGCTCTGGTAATCTTGATATGTATGGATTTCACGTTTACGGAAAAGTTTTCGATGCAGCATTGATCCGACACGTTACGAATTGGGTCAATTAGTATTCTTATAATATCCACCTCGATTTTATTCCGACTATATACCACTGATGTTGCTGTTTCAAGTATATTCTGCTGGAAAAGCTGTCGTCATCAAGACAGCTTTACTCCCGCGCCTTCAAAAGCTATACTGACGATACTGCTTTAAGCTAAGCTGCACACGCTCAGACTATGAAATCCATAGCTCCGTGCCTTAGTAAACACCTGCTTCTTCCAGTTTTATATTAAACTCTTTGATCAGACATATTTGGATGAATACGGACACAATACAAATTCAATAACTCCGTGCTATTATGATGAATTTCTTCAATCCGTTTTGTTTGCTTTGTCCGTGTTCGTTCATCATTACTTGCTTTCTATATAATTTACAATGTCTGTTTTAGACTTCCACACAATGTCCCTACTCTACGAAGATGATTTTGTCAGCGTAAATGAAATGGCCATAAAAGTGAAGAATTGCCTGTTCCCATCCAAAAAGGCTAAATGCATCCCAGTTGCAGCCATTCAAGTCTTGTGGTTTGAGGTGATGTCTACGCTGTTTTGAGAACAAAACTGCTGAGTAACTCTATTATTCCAGGAACATGACCGAACAAAATTTCCAACAAGGATTTGGGGGAAATCACAGGCTGATGTCTACTGGGCTTTGGATGTAAAGAGGTTTGCACATATTTAGATTTGCCTGAAAAATATTGCCAGCTAAACTGGGCTCGAGTTTTTTTTGAGTGGAGTAAATTGATGAAAAGTTGTGTATGAAATTAATCAAAAATGACTGTAAAGTGAAAATTGATTTCCCAAAGCGAAGTGATATTGCTCAACTCGTATAGTTTTAGATGCATTGGAGGACCTAGCCAAAAATTCAACGTCGTCATTGATGTCGGACAAAAATTCCGCTATGGGTTCAGTGTTATAGATGGTGAAAGTTTCATGGAAGCTATGCGTTATGCTCTTGATTATCATGTAATTATTGTTGACAGCATTAATCTATGATATTTACCGTACGGTATAAGCGCAGGAGCAGATGTCAATTGTACGCCTCTCGAAATCAGTGTTAGCTCATTTTTCTGCTGGAATTAGTCAGTGCTTCATCCAACTACTTACATGTGCAACAACATTGATTTTATGCCAAGTATTGGATTCATCCTTTCAATAAATTGTTTCTGCCACCACATGTACAGGGCTTATCAAACGGAGTGTCGCTTGCATCAGCATCTCCGCTCCCTCGATGAACTCTGCATCTCTTCCGAGAACGTGCTCTCTGATCACCTTCCCAGGGCGAGCGTGGGAAAGAAACCTCAGTCAACTGGAAATGATTAGAGAGCATATACGCGGAAGAAACGCAGAGTCCAGCGCGGGAGTGGAGATGCTGATGCAAGCGACACTGCGTTTGATAAGCCCTATAAACTGTTTTGAATAGGTGGAATTGACCAAAGCTCTCACAGGAGACGGTTCTTCAAAGGCAGCGTTCATCCAAAATTCCGTCTTCCATATTTTTATGGTTATCGGGTCTTTCCATTTCGCTGATTGTGAATATGAGGTTCAAAACTATCACAAAGCTCCAAAATTGCCCCTTTTTGAAGCCCTATTTTGGCAGACGTGGACGAGCGCGCCGGCGCCAGTCAGGTCGTATACAACAGGAAACCTCGTCGTATGCAACAGTGCCGCATCACAAACTGTGCTTCACGGCGTTGTTTGCCATGTCAGAACAGTTCGCAGGGAAAGAAGTGGGTGGGTGGAGCGCAAAAAGGGGGCGGAACGCAGAGAGGATCCAGGTCGTTATCTTTTGTAGGCAACATTAGGGTACCGGACCAACGCCGTTGTCTACTTTTAGGGCTTGCTAGTTGGGTGTAGGCTCCCTTTAATGCAAAGGCATTGAGACACATACGATCTCGAAGTTCTTGAACGCTAACTTTATTCCATTTTCCTTATCTTCAGAGCGCTTTCGGGTGTGGAATCATGCCCATTTTATGAGTCAAGAAATTGAATGCCCAGTCAAAACAAAATCAATGGTTACAACCTTTTCAGCTTGCAGATGAAAAACTTTTGAAAGAGGTTAGGCAGTGTTCCGACTAAGTTCGCGAGAGATTTCTAGAAATAATTTTCTTTTGATTACGTGTTTAGAATTCTGATACAAAAGTTCTCATAACTCCTGATCTAGAGGCGCTCCGCAGATAAAGAAGACGCGATTTGGATTTAGTGTGATGTCCTTTAAGGATATGCGTCCCATATGGAAAGACTGCTTTGACCAATCATTCTTTGTCAGTGGCTTGTTTTACACGCAAGTTGGAAGAGAAATCCGCTGATTCTCATCCAGTTTTTTTATCTTCGGAAAACATTCAGCTCAAAAAAGCTTTAAAGTTGTTGATATGTGCATTTTGGAAGAATTTGAGCACTATAGAATGACAAAATACTTTGTGCGACACTCTCTAGCTACTGATGGAAGACTTAAATTTCCTAGCTGGATCGCTTGCAGATTCGCGCTCCCGAGATTTTCCGATGGTGCCCCAACTCTACTCATTGACGTGAAATCGAAAGAAGACGGTCATTCCAACGATGGATGTCTACTGAGCTCCCACAAGAAAGGAACGATATTAAGAAAATGCAATTTTCTGAAAAAGCCAAGAAAAAACAGGTAATTCTTGATACTATCCACTCGGTAGGTAGGAAATTGTACCCATAAGCTCTTCAGTGGAACTCAACTTGGACGACCGCAAATTTGTGGTGTCAAATTTTTCTGAAAAGCAGTAAATATTGATGATGCCAAATCATTTTTGATTCTATTTTACAGATTCAAAAATTGTACGCTTTATAAAGAAGGATTTTTCCAATAGTGCTTTCTCCCTCAAAAATTTTTGGTCGCTACGCTCACTTGTGTTTAGAGTTATGCAGCATATGTAATAAAATGTTTACCTTCTTCAGACATCTCAAATCTGCAATCCTTCATATGAGGTAAGGAAGCTGTATGTTTGATTTCATTCCAGCTTAAGACATACAAAGAAGCTGTTGTTGTGTTAACCAGACATACTGTAATCCATGACATATAAACATTCTTATAAATAGATGTTGTTGGTTATATGATAACCATGAAAACTGCACATTATTCGCAATTTGTTTAACTCCTTTACAGTCGCTGACAGGTATAATTTCTAGGATAAATAGCTAGCAATGGCAACTCTCTAATGGATTTGAATTTTTGCGATTTGCAAAGCTCTCTAGAGGTTTAACTGATTTCCTACCGTATCATTGTTTTCCATAAAGGGAATTCCATATTGCATCGCTCAACAGAAAACCTTCAACTGTCTATAACAGCTTCCATAAAAGACGCCAAGCATTTGCGTCAGCGATCATTGAGCTTCTCAACACTGGCTCCTCAGGGATGATCACATATCTAATCTAAGAAAAACCTTCTAAACCATCCATGCATATTCTTGGTGATCAGGAATTGCTGCTATTTTCTCTATCAGCAGTCAAACAGTGCTAGTTCTTTCATAGCCGAAATCTTACGTCGTAATACAAGTTTTCTTACACTCAATGGAAGAAAGCTTTATGACTTTTTCGATAGATTTCTTCTCATTTTCAAATCATCGACGGAAGTAGTTTTTGTTATATACATGTTGCACAAGACACATCATTTTCGAAATTTTTGGAAATTTTCTGAATCATTTCTGGTCAAGTTGCAGCTTGCGTCGTTGAAGACCATATTTCGAACTGCTTTCATGCTATTACCAATGCCCTCATATTACCCAAAAAACATAAAATAAAAAAATGATCTAAAAATGATAAGAGTGGAAAAAAGGAATTGAGACATTTTTGAAAAATTTGAAAAATAAAGAGAGGAAATGTAGGTTGGAGTGCCTTAACAAGGTTGTAACTTTACAAAATTGCTCTTATATCCACTATAGCTCATGCCCTGGAGGTGAATGCCCAACTTTTTCTCAGATATGCCCATTCTGAGTTTTCCGAAGTTTCCGAAATTTTTCAATGCAATATGAAGCATTTCAAAACCTATGTTACGACCTAATACTTTATGATGAGTGCCGAGTGAAAGCCAGATGTTGAGTTATTTGCACCTATTTTGCAAATATATTTCGAGTTCGATCTGAATATAGAATTTTAGCTTTCATCCTCGGAAATACCTGACCCATTTGTTTGATATGTCTTCATTGGATTATTTGAGTATATCATTTTCATATTTCAGCATGCAGAGTATATCCAAATAATTGAATAAATAACTTCATAACACGCCACCTTTCATGACGTGCTTTTTTCTTTTGTGTGATGCTTGACTTAAGCTGTGAGACAGTGAAGCCTCATCAGCACACTCCATATTAGCTAACATATCATTATTGATTGTAATTAGTCTCTCAGGTCCTACAAAAACACTTGGAACGGCGCCAACCATTCTTCAATGTACACTTGCCTCTAGACCAGTCTCTTTGTGCAATTGCAAAATCTTGATTTGATTTTTCAGAACAGTATGTCTGAAGTATGAAATGCTAGTTTCTTTTCTAGTAATCTTTTTGGTGGTAATTTTTCCTTTTCTGCAACCATGATGTGATTCCATTCACTGGATTACAAATCCTAAAAATGGTGCAGTTACACAAAGCTTTTCAAGTAAAATAAGGACAACTGTACGTCAGAATTTATGCAGCTCTTGCTATACCCCTATATCCATTTTTGATCAATCAAGATGGTTCTATAGACTTCACAGAAATTTTTCTACAAAGCCAGTTTATTATTTGGAAAAACGGCTAGCTGGAGCAAAAAACAGCAAAAAAAGATGAGAATTAATTCAAATTCTTGAAACACTTAATTTGAACGATGACTATATTTTGAGTAAAGCTTTGGTTCGAGAAAGTTTTTGCTATTTTCCTTATTTGAAATCTTGAAAACCATTCACGACATCAGAATAAGCATGAAAATTCTGCTATTGAATTTTAAGAAAAAAGCTGAAAAGTCTTTAAGTTTGAATTCATTGCTTTCACTTTTTTAAAGATAAAATCTTTGCTTATATGGACTTTTAAGCCTTTGATGATTACTGTTTCAAATCAAAAAATGACGAAGCCAAACTACTTTACTCATCATTTCGGAATTCGTGATACTCATGTTTTTTCTTTTGAAGCCGAGAAAGTCTAGTACATAAGTTTCCTCACTTCATTTTTCCACAACCCTTTATTTCAGCTTCCTTTGCACCTGTTCTTGCGTCACAAAAGCACGTCAAAAGTTGTTTTATCACCTCACCTGCTAAGACAATTCAGAGTAATGGAAGTGATATCACACCTGTTAAGCTTATGGCTTAATTCTCTACATAGTCAGTACTACGTCAATCAGGCTTTTAGCGCTGGCTGATGAATGGGTGGAGCAAAGTGTATAAGTTCTGCTCTGACAATCTTCCAGAACTATTATCCAACAGTTCGTATTCCTAAGTCGATATATCCTTGAAAGTTCTTAGGAATTTCTATGTAGCATGTAAATTCGACTCTTTAAAAAAACGCATTCGCTCCATTAGAACTACTAAATGATGCCAATTCCATCGGTATTTACTATAACGTTGGCAATTTTTCAAGTCCTTGGCAGCTTCATTGAGCTTGCAACATTTCATTCACCTATTATAAATTCATCAAGCTAGCGTGCTAGAATGCAGACAAGTGCATTGTAAATTACGATTACTTTAGCCTAAGCATAAAAAACTGAACTGGGGCAATGAAGCATGGCCAAAAGTTTTTTAATACAAAGTTTGCAGAAACCTGCAGCTCGCTCACCTCGAGCATTGAAAGCTATGAGGATGATATGTACGAAATGGCAAGATATCAAGGAAGTGATAAAAAAATATCTTCCAAGGTTCTTAAATGGAACTTGCCCTTTCTAGAATTACACATATCTTCTCTTTCTCTCCCCCCCCCCTTTGCCCCTGCGAAATGTTCATCGAGTTGAAATTGTAAGAAAATCGTTTGTTCTTCTAAATGCTTACCAAGGCACCATTGCTGGAA